CTCACCTCACTCACCTTACCTCAGCTTCTCAGGTAGCTGACCACTTTAGTGTTTGATTTTTGTGTGTGTGTTGTTTTTAGTCTGCTTTCCAAAATGTTTCTCAAGCTTTTCAACAATGTGAGTAGTTGACATGTAAATACTTTCTCAAAAATATTTAAAACCATACTATCTCTGTTGCTATAGAATCACAAATAAAATTATACAAAATTTTAAGAAAGATTTTGAACATTATCTTTAGCATTCAGTATTTTGAAATTTTGAAAGTTGTTTATTGACTGTCAAGAACTATGGAATATGAGCAAACATTTTTTGGTATGTAAAGTAAATGTTTGTGGAAAAATGTAAAAATAAATAAATAAATGAAAAAAGGAAAAAAAATATTTCTCAAGCCAGTGGATTCAGAACAGCACAGTTGGCCATGTGTGATCCACCTGCCTCAGCCACCATGCAGCTGGATGACCCTAAGGTTATCAATTTTTAGCACATTTTCCTTTGTATAGTTGAACATGATGATCACAGCTTTTAAAATCTTGAGCTACTAATTTTAATACTAAGTTTTTAATCACACTAGGTCTACATCAACTGCTATCTTTCGGTTGAATGGGCCCCATTTTCTTGGTTTGTTTATGTTTAATTATTGGAGATTTTACCCAGGACTTGGTGAATATTATGAAAAGATTCTGTTGTCCTTGACATTTGTTTCTTTTTTTAGGTTCAGTACGTAAGTTACTTGGTTGTGCTCAAATCGAAAACTTCTCCCAGGTGTGAAGTGGTAGCTGACCCAGCATGAAAATTTTGACGAGTGTAGTTTTAGGAGATGAAAGATTAGTTCAGAAGAGGACAATAGATTGTCTTATGAATACATTTGGCTATTCACTGTGAGACCAGGAAATCTTCACAGGGATACTTCTGGGTGCTCACACCAAGGAAAAGCCTGTGAAAACAAGCACAAAACAAGCCAGCAGCTGCAGAAATTAGGAATGATGGTTCAACTTGACTCAGGCTTAAGTAGACCGAGAAGTTTGTATGAAAAACTCTATAAAAGTACTGAATCTGAGAAGAGTTTCAGTTAGAGTTCAACACTTTTTTAACATCAGTAGGTCTGCGCTGGGAAGAAATGTCATGATGTGCTGCTGATTGTGGACAAAATTTGTTTCAGAGTTCTAATCTCATTCCGTATTGATGAGAAGTTCTAAAAATACGATAGGTGTGCAGAAGGGTTAATCAAAGCTCAAAGCTCATTCAGTATTAGAGAATTAATAATGGAAAAAAATGCTATCAGTAGGATGAATGTGGCTGGTATCGCAGCCAGAGTTCACCTTACTCAACATCGGAGAACCCACATGTGAGAGAAATGACCAGTATAGGAAATATGGTGAGTGCTTCAGCTTAGCTCTCACCTGAGGTCGTACATGAAGGTGCACCAAGAAGGGAAGCCTCATAAAACACAGGGTAGAAATATCAGAGCAACAATTCACTGAGTACCCTACCAGAATGCTGATAAAGGAACGAAGTCAGTGGCTAATCTCTACTAGCTAGGGGATATTACTTCAGACCGCTTTAAAAAAAAAAGGCAAAACATAACAGTTGTCTCTTTGAGAACTGGAGATGCCTTAGAGTAGAACAATTACAGACTGGATCCTTTTCCTAGCATAGACACATAGGGAGCATAATAACATTACTGGACTGAGGGACCAGAAGTTGGCATGATGGCTATGTCGCTGGACTCCCATGTAGTCAATCACATTTCAAGTCCTGGAGCTGGTGTCTTAAAATCATCCCAGGAACATGTGCATGTGTGCCCAAGATCCCAAAAGGAGAATGGAGGAAAAGGGATTGAGGTGTGGCCATCCCCCCTGGGGAGTGATTTCTCGCTTTCTGTCTCTCTGTCTCTCTCTGTCTTTCTGGTGAGCACATGCGCCTCATAGCAAAAACCTCTCAAAAAAAAATTACTGGACTGAAAGAAACTACATGAGTCTAGCTGCCTTCATTTCTTTCTTATGTGACAAGGAGCACAAAGAACTGAAAATATGTTTTGAAAGATTTTAAGATTCTTGAATTCATTTGAAATTTCTTGATGTAATTATTTTGATAAAAATGATCATATTTTGACAACAAATTTGTGGAAGTACAGACATACCAATAATTACTCAGTTTTAATACTTTATGCAGGAGAAATAATTAAATAAGTGGAAGAAAAACATATTTTTTTAATCTTTAATTCTGCAACAGATGAGAAGATTTTTATGTTTGTAAAGCTTTGTAGTGTATTGAACATTGATTTTTAAGTCTTAATTAAGACTCAACATATTAAAATGTATTCAAGTTCACAGATGTTTTTTAAGATTTATTTTCCTTAGGGCACATGTACTTGCCAGAGAGACAGAGAGACAGAAAGCAAGAATTCACTGTCAGGGCGAGGGGGATGGCCATGCTGCAATCCCTTCTCCATTTCGCCCATTCTCCCCTCAGGATTTTGGTCATGCATGCACATGTACCCATTGTGAGTTTTGAACCTCCAGGTCCAGGACTCGAACCATAGTCAGCCATAAGAGAGTCCAGCAACCCATCAATTATGCCATCTGCTGGTTCCCAAGTTCACAGACTTTTAATCAAGGCCCCTCACTGTGTATTCACTTTCTTTTGTTTCTTCCCCCAATCTTTTCCTCTATATTAATTCTTAATTAAAGAAGTAAGGATTTCCCCATTGTTTTTTTAACCACATTCTTGGTAAGTGGTACTGCACAATCCAAAGTAAGACCTGAATTAGATCACAAATCTCCTGTTCCTACCAACTAATACTATTCTTTGTGGTGGTGGCACTGTCTTGTCACTTATTTTTAAGAAGTCGGGATGGATTACGTTGATCCATTCTCCTGTCCTTGACTTCTTTTTGGCATTCTCTTGTGCTCTGATAAACTGACCCAGTTTTTTAGATCTAAATGAAAAAGCAAGTTGTATTTTTACAAGCAAAAATCTCACCTTACTTTTTGCTAATTAAGCAACTTATACCACCACCATCTTCTTTCAAGACCGTGAGCCTTAGATAACCCTGGTTACCTTATACAAATATTTGTCAACAGCAAGTCATGTAATATATCAATACATTATAGTTTTTCTGAAATTAACTTTTTATGTGTTACATGACTTGTATCGGAAGTCTAACTGACATGATTCTTAACTTCCATCAGAACTATACCACATGCCAGACATTCTTATCAGCTCATTTTTTTAGAATTAGTTTATTTAACTTAATTGATTAATTAATTAAAATTTGACCAGAGATGGACAGAATGAGAAAGAGAGAGGGAAAGTAAGAAGGCAAGCTGCCAGGTCCTGGATTTGAACCGTGGTCATCCATGTGGGAATCCAGCACCCTTTACCACCACATCACCTGCTGACTGCCTGCCTTCAGCTCAGGTTTTATTTTTATTGCTCACATTCTTCTGATTATCTTGCATTTCTCATAATCACATCAGTTCTTACTGTAGTAATGACAATAAAGCGTAAACATTAAAATATTTTACATGGAAAAAATAAGAAAACGTATTCAGTGTTAATTCATATCTCTGTTTAAACTTTTCATATTTCTGAATTGCTTTGAGCATATTCCACATATATGTGATTCAGGGGGCAGCCAGAGATTTAGCCAAAATAATAAACAGAATTTGAATCACTTTCTCTTTGGCTCTCTTATTTCCACGATTCTTTCGTTAAGTTCAGCAGCTTTGGTCACTTCAAACCCTGTCCTCTGTTTTTTTTTGTTTTGTTTTGTTTTTTTTTCATGCTAGAAAATCTGTTTTCTTTTTGTGTTTTAAAATCTCTCTCAAAAAAAAAAAAAAGTGTTATGGTCATTGCTCAGACTAAAAATTGTACCAAAGGAATACTCAACCTGTATACTTAACCTTCCAAATGTTGATTACGTTCCAGAATCCATTTGATTTTATTCTTACTCTAATATCTTAAAGTCGTGGTATCCATTTTGTCTTTTCCAGAGTTTGTGGCTTTTATCATCAGAAATGTTGTTGACTTACTCAAGGAGACAAAAAGCAGGATTCTTACTTGTCTTTACTTTTAATGATGTACATTTATTGATACAAAACATTTGCTAATTTCATGCAATTAAAAAAATTTAATGACTACTTAATCATTGATTCAGTTTAAAGTTAGTATAAGAAATATACAATTCTATAAATACACATATTTTTTAATTTGTCAGAGGGTGCGTGCACTCACAGGTGTGAGGGAGAAGAAAGCCATAAAGCACCCGTGCACAGGAGATGCCAGAATCCCTTCTCCTCCATTATTCCCTCCTTTTGGGGTTTTGGGCATGCATTCACATGCACCCAGAATATTTTTCGAGTCACTAGGTCTGGGACTCCAGTTGCACCGTCAACTATGCCACCTTAACCACTACTCCACTGACTGGCCCTGAATTCTATAAACATTTTAAGAAGAAAATTTAGTTCAAGAGATTATTCTTGAAATTATTGGAAAGTTTGAAAGAGTCATAGAATGATTATTGGAATGATTGATTTCAAGAACATACGATAGGGGGTGAGTCAGTGGGATAGCAGTAACACAGCACTTTGTGATGCTGGACACACGTGAAACAGTCCCAGGTTTGTGTCCTAAGGTCGCCCTGTGTATGCAGGGACTGCACATGCCCATGGCCCAAGCTAGTTGAGATTGTAGGTGTATCATGGTGTGAAGACCTTGTTGAAGGTGCCTGTCACTCTTGAAATAAGTATTGAAATAAACTAAAAAAAAAAAAAAAAAAGAACCTGTGACACTAACTGAAATCCATAAGTCAAGGAAATACTGCTGCTGCTGGCATCACCATTTCTCATCTTTCCCTCCATATTTATAAAACCGTGAAGCAGAAACTAAATCGAACTCCTACAATGTAGTGTTAACATTCCAGTTTCTATTATTTTGAATTCCTACACAGGTAGGATAGAAGAAAAATTACATTAATTTTCTCTTCCATTTTGACTATAATGAAGAAAACTAGGCAAAAGATGAATTTGAAAGGGGAAAAGAAAAAGCCAAGAGAACAGGTAAGTGGACCCTCCAGTGTTATCAGCCTTTAACTCACAGTCTGACTACAGTGCATCATATTCTGTCCTAATGTATATTTAGATATTAAAGATCATGGATTTATTTCTTATTTATTCACTGAATACAGTTTGAGTTGTATTTTGCTTTCTTTTCTTTTACCAAGCACAAGACCTAATTTATGCAGAAACCATTTCAAGTATTTTGGTCGGACAACCAAATCTATCTCCTCCATTCCTTGTCCTAGGGTTAGGTATAAAAGTTCATGAAATCAATCATGTATTGCTTCCAGTCTGCTCTACAGAAAGAATCTAGATTAAGTCTCTCATATAGGAGTGTGAGACTGAGACTCTCTCAGCTTTTTGAATTCAGTGCTGAGAATAAAATGTTAAGGCTTTTATCTCCATGTTTTTTTTTTTTTTTAGAAGGCTACCCTAAAAAAACAGAAATCTGCTACATATATTAAAGCTAAGTTAAATAGAGAAAGAGGAAAAATAAATCTTATTTATTCATTTAACAAATATGCATTAAATATCTATTATGTATCAGGAAGATGAAGGTAAAACATTAAGCAAAATGAAAACAAAATCATTCTGCAGATTTTGTTTTTTTTGTTGAGAAGGCTACCCTAAAAAAACAGAAATCTGCTACATATATTAAAGCTAAGTTAAATAGAGAAAGAGGAAAAATAAATCTTATTTATTCATTTAACAAATATGCATTAAATATCTATTATGTATCAGGAAGATGAAGGTAAAACATTAAGCAAAATGAAAACAAAATCATTCTGCAGAGACAGAAAATAGAGATATGTAAAGAAAAAACTATAATTACATAAAAATAGATGATCCATATTAAGAAGAAAAAGTAAATTATAGGAAAGAATTTTTTCAGAGGCTACTTCTGAATGAAGACTGAACATGATGATGAAATGCAAGTCCTTAACTTGAGCCATATATACAATTATATTAGTTGTGAATATCTCTGCTTTTAGGCCAATAATTTCCTTTCTATATGCTAGGTTGTATTATTCTTATTTCATATGAAAACCAAAGGCACACTAAACAAATTCTTTCTACACTATAATTTTTAAGCTTTCTTCCTTTTTACTTCTATTCATGTTACCATGTACAGATTATATTTTCTATATTAGTCTGGGTTCTCCAGAAATACAGAACCAAAGACAATAGGAGATCATATACATTTAGAAGTTCCAAGATTTGTAGTCAGCAAGATGGAGAGCCAGGAGAGCTAATGGGATATTTACAGTCTGATTCTGAAGGCCTTAGTACTAAGGGTACCAATGATGTGAGCTGAAGCACAAATCTAAATCCAAAGGAGAAGACAGTCAAGCAGAGAGAGAGAATACTCTGTCTCAGTCTTTTTATTTTGTTCAGTTCTTTAATGACTTGAATGAGGGCCACAGTGGGGAGGGCAATATGGTTTTCTCAGTGTACAGATTCAAAAGTTAATCTCATCCAGAAACATCTTTGTAAACACACTTAGGATGATGTTCCACCACATATTTGGCCCTGTGGCCCAGTAAAGTTGACATATAAAATTAATACTCTAGGGAGTATTATTCAGTCATAAAAAAAACAACAAAACCCTGGCTTTTGACAGAAAGTGGATGAATATGGAAGATTTACTGCTGAATGGAGCAAGCCAGGCTATGAAGGAGAAACATTGTATGTCCCCATTTAATATATACTGAGTGTCTTCACTCTATGACTGAAAGGAATTGACTGAAGGATATAGAAATATGGTAAACGGATGTAAATACAGATATAGTGTGTGTGAAAGAGTAGGGTTTCAGGAAAAATAATTAGAAGAAAAATAGGGAGGAAAAGCATTAATAGGACAAAGAAATGTCCCAATTTCTGTTAAAGATATTTTGTAGTCTAGTCAACTGGAGTAGGGAGAGATGTTCATATGTTGAAATATTCACTTTGTAAGCTAAATAATGTGATTGACTGTATAAAATAAAATGAAATTAAAAATAAATAAAAATTACTGTGACCTTTTTAAAATTGGTCTACTACACAGTAAAAATTGAAGCATAGTATTCTGTAACAGCTGCTTTCATTACACCAAACACACAAAGTTCTTTTATAGTTTAGAAATGTTTTCTATTATTAAACATTAGGAAATTTTTGTTTTAATTGTCTTCTTTAAGACCCCATATTTCAAAAAGATTTAACAAATATTTTCCTAGGGGCACATGCACTCACCAGATAGTGAAAGAAAGAGAAATAGAGAGAGGAGAGAGGAGAGAAACAGAGGAGAGAGAGAGAGAGAGGAGAGAGAGAGAGAGAGAAAGAGAGAGAAAGAGAGAGAAAGAGAGGGAGAAAAAACCCTTCTAATGGGGCATGATCATGCTGTTATCCCTTCTCTTCCATTTTTTCCTCCTTTGAAAGATTTCAGGATATTTTAGTCATGCATGCATATGCACTCGGCATGTTTCTCAAGATGCTGGGTCTGAGAGTTGAATTAAATGTTCAACTATAAAGGATACAGTTTTGTGTGTGGGGGGGGGCAGGGAGGAGGACATGATGGGGGAGATCCAGTAACTCTTAACCACCAGACCATGGACCAGTCCTTCAAAACATTTTTAACTCTACCTTTGGTATATGCTATCTTTATTTTCTTCACATAATAGCTTATTCTTTTTTCTTTAATATGATGTGTTTTTTTAGAGAGATTTTTGTTATAAGGCAGGTGCACTCACCTGAGAGACAAAGAGATAGAAAGCGAGAAATCACCCCCAGCGGAGGTAGGGGATGGCCATGCCACAATCTCTTCTCCATTTTCCTCTCAGGATCTTTTTTTCTTTCTTTTTTTTTTTTTTTTTGGTATAGGGCGTGTGCACTCACCAGACAGACAAAGACAGAGAGACAGAAAGCGAGAAATCACCCCTCCCTGGCCATGCCGCAATCCCTTCTCCTCCATTCTCCTCTTGGGATCTTGGACACGTGCCTGGTGTGAGTTTTAAGTCACCGGGTCCGGGACACAAACTGCGGTCGACTACATGGGAGTCCAGTGACATAGCCATTACACTAACTGCTGGTCCCTTCTCTCAGGATCTTGAGCATGCATGAACATGCTCCCAGAGTGAGTTTGAAGACACCAGGTCTGATATTTGAACTGCATTTGACTACATGGAAGTCCAGCAATGTAATTATTACACCATCTGCTAGTCCCTACAATGCAATGTTCTTAACATGTTTTTCTATCCCTCACACCTCAAGGTAGAGAGACAGAAAGAATGAAAATGAAGATTCTTGGCATCTTTTATTTCACAGAATCTTAAAGAATGTAACTGTAGAAGTTAGAACTGATTTCCTTTCAGATGCTGAGAAATGTAGCTGAAACCATTGCCTTATATTAGACACATGGCATACGTGGGAGTGGTATCTGATTATATCAAGAAAATGAGAAAATCACTTTTAGAGTAGTGTTGACTACTCTACACTAGATGATTTGGGGGATAAAGTCAGTGAGGGGGACCAGCAGTTGGCATAATGGCTATGTCGCTGGACTCCCACGTGGTCAACTGTGGTT